CATTAAGCCGCCAAGTTTTTCTTTCTTTTTATCTCTCTTTAATAACTTGTTTTATTATAAGGCTTAATATCCAAATAAGTACCCAAGTTATACTCTTTTAGGTGCCCTAGCCATCAATAACATTAATTTCTCCCGTTAAGTGATATGTGTCACAATATGATAATTTTTAAAAAATTTATATAAAATTAAAATAAAATAAAATTATATATAATTTAAAAAACACATAAATTTTAAAATAACTCTAAAACTTTGAAAATCTTCATTTTAACCCCTAAGCTCACGCCAACCTTCGCCCTTTGTCGTCGACGAAGCTCCACTCGACCTCACCTCCCCACAGAGATCAAAACCCCTATGAAATCGTGACGATCGACGATGAATCAATGTTTTATACCCCTGAACCCTAAGATAAAAATAGCGATCTCACGTGATTTCGACTGCCAATCCACGACAACTATGGCGGCTTATAACTAGGATGATGGCAGGGATTAGGTCGACGACAGTGGTCGTGGCCGGAAAGGATGATGATGGCGGGCTAGTGTTAGTAATTTAGGGGTATTTTAAATATAATAATATTTTAATATTATTTTTTTAAAAAAATTAAAATTACCGGATCATGACAAGTGTCACTTAATGGAGAAAACTAACGAAAATTATAGCCCGAACACCTAAAATGGTCACGTTTGTAACATTAGGCGCCTTGATGGTCCAAAAAATACTGTAGGCACTTATTCAGGAAAAAGGGTATAGTTTAGGTATTTATTTGGGTATTAAGCCTTATTATAATATTTTAGTGTTTTAATCTTTATGTTGCAAGTATTTTTAGAGTATTTTAAGTTTTCAAGATCTGTTCATTATATTTATACCCTTTTTGGTTAGTCAAAATTATGAATATATTAACATAACAATATTAAAGTTTATTCCATAATTTTTTTTTCATAATCTTTTATAGTAGGAAGTGATTACAAAAGAAATTATATATTTAATTTTGTCAAGCTTATTTTTAACACACATCATGCATATGTAATTATTGAATTTGAGTTTTCTTACTGACATTACACACATCCTATAGGTGTAATAACTCGAACCTAAATCCTAAAAATAACAATATTCTCTTTTATAATTGAGACCACTCAATAATTTTTTTCACAATTATTGGAAAGTATAAATTTGATTTAATTTAAATATAAATATTAAGGGCTAAGTTTTGGATAAATTTGTATGAATGTATTAAGGGGGTGATTGGATCATGGAATTTAAGATTCTTGGTGGGTATTTTTTTTTCCAGATTCAAATTCCTATGTTTGGATGGGAAATATTCCCAATAGGAAGAATAATATATTCCAAATAGTAAAAAAAATTCTCTGTTTACCAGGAATGTTATTCCCTTGTTTTTCTTAGGTATTCTTTTATTCCCTGTTCTATGTGCTAAAATACCCTCTTTTCCCGTTTGCCTCTTCTTCTTCTCCCAAGCGTTCTTTGTTCTTGATTTTGATTTCACAATCTTATCTCCAGTCCAATCTCTTTGATTTTCCACCATTAATTCTTCCATTCTTGTATCTTCCACGATTCCAAGCTCTCTCTCTCTTATCTTCTCTTAAATCCCATATTTTCCCCAGATTTTTTTCTTTTCTTTTCCTTCCCCCTTTTCTCATGAAAGAACGAGAAAGGAAACTTGTTTAAGGTATACCCAGATCTTGTTCACTTCTTGGCTTCACTTTTTATTGTTTTCACAAGTTTGTAAACTCTGGGTTTCTCTTGATTTTTTGAATATCCTCTGTTCTATTACTTGGGTGTTTGTTTCTCAGGAAAAAAAGAGAGAACCTTTTTACTTCTTGGGTTCCTCTTGAATTTCTCAAGGTTTTGAACAATGGGTTACTCTTGAATTTCTGAAATAAGGGGAAATATTTGGTCTGGAGAGTGATTTCAATCAAAAGATCCAAGTTTTAGTGAAAGAAAAAGAAAAAGAAAATCCAGTGTGATGTTTTTGAAAGAGCACAAGCAACAGTGATATGTTGTGCAGATGAGGCTGCACTTTGTGCTAAATGTGACATTGAAGTTCATACAGCTAACAAGCTTGCAAGCAAGCACCAGAGGCTTCTCCTTCAGTGCCTTTCCAACAAGCTTCCTCCTTGTGATATTTTCCAGGTTCAGAATTTCACTTTTTCTGGTTTATTTCATTAATTTTTTTGTAATCTTATTTATCACTAGCGTTACGAGATCCGAACATAGTAATAGTATAAGAAATTAATCACGTTGTACTATGGATTTGAATCTTCTTAATACATGCTGAGTTTGAATGTTCTAACATAGACTGTGAATCTTGTGCATATATGTCATACAGGACAAAGCAGCTTTCATCTTTTGTGTTGAAGATAGAGCCTTTTTTTGCCGTGATTACGACGAACGGATCCATCATGTCGGTAGCCTTGCCGCGAACCACCAAAAGGTTCCTCGCCACCGGAATCCGAGTCGTCTTGAGTTCGAGTTGCAATAAAAAAACTTAAAACAATGTGTTGGAGCCACCCAACAAGAGTGCACCTCAGACTTCAATGAAAACGCCGCAACATCAGCACTCAAGCTTTGCTTCCCAATGGGCTGTTGATGATCTGTTAGAACTCTCGGACATTCAATCTTTAAACAAGGTGAGAAACTATTATTAATCCGACACTCCGATTCGAGTTCGATTGAATTTTATTCGTCTTCCAATAATGTTTTTGTTCCTTGTTTTGTTGCAGAAAGAGCAGTCTTAGTTTGGAGAGCTCAAATGGCTGGCAGACATTGGTCTTTTCGGTGATCAATTGCCTCAGGAGGCTTTAGCACAGGCCGAAATCCTTCAACTTCCCATACCGCATTCGAATAATACGAAGTTGTACCGACCTACCAAGTATTCCATGCCTCTTAAGAAGCCTAGAATCGAGATCCCAAACGATGATGACGAGTACTTCATGGTCCCTGATCTAGGATGAGGTTGTATGTGATGTGATCAAACTATATAGTTTCATATGTACGCATAGCCCGTATGCATCTCGTCTTGCTTTCCGATTATGTTGCCTTCGTTTTTCTTTATAGGAACAAGTTTTTGATGCGCTTTCGAACATGAACATACATATATGATCTTCAAGTTCATGGGAAATCATACTGCAATTTCATATAGATTTGGCTTGATCAATTCTAGAAGAGTTATTTTTGAGGTTAATAATATACTATTTGTTCAAAATCTTTTTAGCCTATTAATAATATATATATACGTTTTACAGAAATTGTTTGGAACCCGAATCCTTTAGGAAGAATAATAGTCTTTTATACTACTGATGTCACTCAACAGAATAATGAAAGTTATAGTTATGTCTCAATCCCATTAAGGAGAATAATATTCTCTTTTACTATTGGATCTACATGTAAATTCCAGTTGAGTGACTCATATACCAAAATTAGATGTGCGACGTGAGTCGGTCCGGTTTAGTAGGGAAGAAGACTTGGAGCCGGAAGACAACAAAAAAGAATTCAAAAAAATTTAAATAAATAATTTGAACCATGGACAAATCTAGTGACAGCTCCATGCTTGTTTCACCCAATTACAAAATTTTTGTATAATATTTTTGTTGATAGAAAGTAGGTTGAAAGGAGTAAAGATCAAATTTTGTGCCTTATATAAAGAAACCAGTTCACTATCTTTCTACTTGATGTTCAGCGTCTTTACTTTATCATCATCGTGTAAATTATACCATCTAACTGTAACTATTTATACCTTATGCCTCCTTACTTATGTTACCATCAAATAAAATCTTCAAAGAAATGGATTCGGTCTCATCCTCTTCTTTGAATTCCGTTGTCATTGCAATGGTTTTAGCTTCGGTGTTCGCACTTGTTCATTTGATAACGTTGAGGTCGGACACCGGAGCTCTTCAAGCGTTGAGACGTTCTATTGACCCCAACATGATTCCATCGTCATCGTACATCAATTCGTGGGATTTCTCGGTGGATCACTGTTTCGTTTCCTGAGAGGAAGAAAACTTCTATAGCTCTAAGCCATATTTGTTTTGTATGCAAGATTTACACATGATCCATTGAGACAGCAGAAAAAGCAATGTTTTATTTTATTTAAGCATTGCAAAAAAAATAATGGATTTTAAAGCACAATGAGAAGACAACAACATTTTATTAAAATATTAACAAAGATAATGATGAATGACGGTGAAATATAAAATTATAGATAATATGATTTTTAGTGTTATATTTTCTTACTTATTTGAATTATGTTTTTGTAATATAAATTAATGAGATAAATAATAATGATAAAGTATGCATAATTAAGTATAAATATAAAAGATAAATAAATAAATTATTGTATATAGAAGATATAATAATATATATATTAGATAACAAAATAATTTACATCTTTTTATTATTATGAATATCTATGAAGAATTTCCACAATGTAAACATTTAGTTAAATGTTGATGTAAAATTTTAATATATTTTTACATAAATTATGTAAAATTTAATATTAATTAAAATTAAATTAATAAATGATATATTTAAATACTCAAGTAATATATTATCAACAAATAAAATTTTTATATAAATAATTTTTATTTAAATATTTAGAATTTCACTTGTTAAAAAACAAATATAGAACAAGGACAATTTGGTAAAATATACATTCCAGTAATCTTTTATTCATCCAACCAAACACTGTAATCTTACATTCCTGCCAAACCAACCAAACACAGTATGTAACATTCCCAGTAATCCTATTCCCTGATAATCTTTTATTTCCCTAAGGGATAAGTTTTGGATAAATTTGTATGAATATAAATTTGATTTAATTGTGTAATTTTAAAGTTGATCAGGACTAAATTTATCTAGATTTAAAATTGAGAGGTACCTAAGAGGTTTTTTACCGAAAAATTTGTATGATTGAATCGGATAGTCCTTTTCTCGGTTCGATATGGTTTGTTAGTCCCTGCTCCTGGCCCCTGTGAAGTGCGAATCTTTATACCACTTTTGTGCCGTGGGTTTGGCGCGGCGGGATTTGTATTCTAAGAATGGCTTCAAAAAGAACCAGCAGGACCAAGAAGTTTAGGAAGAACAACTCTTCTTTCAACTTCCGAACCCTAATTTCCTCTATTTCTTCTCCTCAGGTAATTTTCTCTCTCTTTTCTTTACAATTTTTTCACTTTCAATTTCACAGTCATTCTTCTTCTTCCTCTTTTTTTTTAATTTTTTTCTGATTTAAATTTGGTTGATTTTAGGGTCTAAAACCAGAAACACTGGAAGGCTTGTATTTGCTACTGCTTACTTTAAGCTGCTCTGATCCCGAATGCAATTTGAATACCTCGGAAACCGAGTTCAATTCCAACGATTTCAAACTCAAATTCAAGGATACCCGTGAACTCTCAGATGTCTTACTCCACAAACTCAATGCCAAGTTCAATGAATTATTCTCTGCTTTGAATGATGTTGTCCCCTACCCGGTTCATTCCCACTGTATTTTCCATGTCAATGTTGAAGCTTCCATTAAAGAACTAACTTTGCTTCTGAGATGCTGCATTGTTGTTTTCAAACTACTTGTTTTGGACCAGAAGCTTCTTGTCGAAAAAGGTCGAATTCTTTTGGGGATACTAAGGAAATGCGTTTCAGTGAAGTTAAAGGGAGGGAATGAGAAACCTTATAATAGTTTCGAAAAGGAGGTTTCGCGCAAATGTATGTATGTCGATAATGGTGGCACTACTGTCCACGCTGAGCACTTGGTTACTTCCTTAACTTCCTTAAGTTTCGCGGAACTTTCTAATCCATTTCATGCCATTTTATGTGCTGTGCTTGAGGTAATTTTGATTTCGGTTCCGAATTCTGATGTTGCGTATGCTTTGATTCAAAATCCGATTATTCAATTGCTTGTAATGTTAGTGCATTTTGCAGATTACTAAAGTTCATTCAACTAGGTTTTATTTGTTATAAACCATCGAATTATAGGAACAATATATTAGTTTTGATGCAGGAAAACTCATAGAAAAAATTTAGTAGCCTGGCTAGATAGATTCATAGAAAATTTTCTTTGCTTTTGGAGAGGGAAGTTATCATCCAAAGGTCCTCATGTTTTATATTTTGTCATGTATTGTTTTATTAAGATGCTTTTTGGTTTAGCCATGATATTAAAATTTGTTGTTAGGCTTGCGTTATTCTTTTGTCAATGATTGTTGGACATTACCCAGTTCTTGGTCTCTGCATTCGACTCGAATTTTTCTTCATAGATTGCTGATATTACTCTGCTATGCCTATGGCTTTACTTGTGTTCATACTACTCATCACCTTTGTATATTGCGTAAGCTGGTATTGGTATTTCTTCTATATTGGGTGGCACTTTGTTCTAAAAAAATATGGCAACTTTTCAAACTAAATGATGACATTGCTTTTTTAGGTTTCTAAGTTTCATTTATGCTTTTTAAAGTGACTTTATTCTCATCATAGATAGTTTATGGTAGTTAGGTTGCTGCCATGAGAAACTATTAGGATATACTTAAGCATGAAAAGAGGGACATATATACTAAAAATGCCATGTGTAGGTATTTGCAGACGAGCTTCTGATGCATGAATCAGTGAGGCAGTACCTTGTGATTGTTGACTCTCTCTCTTGTGGGAATGAGTTTGTATTCACACGTTACTTTGGCCATGGTAATATTGGAAGTGTGCTGGAGGTTCTTTCTGCTCACTTTGTAGTCTCCCTTTCTGATGACCAAGCATTTAAGAATTTCCTTGATAGATTATTTTGGCTTCCTAACAATAACTTCAGAGTTCCAGAAATGACTTTAACTACAGCCTTGTCATTGTTTCTTAACCCCATCCTGTTGTCCGCGCCCAAAATGTTTCAGGCATATCTGATTTTATTGGTTTCCGAAGTCATTGGAATTAGCATGTCTTCTGAGCATTTGATTCCAAGCAGTGAACTAAGAGCATACCTATCAGCATTTGAAAGGTCAGTTGCCTTGTACACCAGACACATGTCCAATATGCACACGGAAGGATACCCCATAGCAGGTGATGATTCTTTTGTGAAATCACATTTTCGTGCAAGTTACAGTCAGATGGATTTTGAATCTTGTCTTTTGCCAGCTACGAAAGAGAAAATTCATTATCTGATCGCTAAATCTGATAATTCATGGAATTCTTATTTAAGCAGTACTTTACTAAAAGAAAGGTCTGAGCTAGTTGCTGCTTCTGTTGCATACACAAAAGAGAGCCTTAATGTTGTTGAGGAATCCACTAGAGATGACATTCTATCAATCATAAGCTGTATAACGCTCCAGGGTTCTTCTGATGATGTTGATGACACTATACTGCATAAAAAGGAAGATACTAGTCCGCAACATATTTGTCTTCTCGCATCTATACTGAAGCTAATGAGTTCTGCTATGTTACAAGCCATAAGGATTTTAACACAAGGCAGAAATTCAGGGTCTTTGAAAACATCAGAAAATGTTGCATTAAGTAAGGAGTATGATTTTTTGGTGGCTACTTTCAATTGTTTCCAGCAGTTTGGTATACGCTTACCAGTTCAGAAGTTCTTACATGACATGATGGAAATTCAGCCAACAAGGCATAAGAAGTCAAAATGGATGTTCTTTCATTTCTCAGGCCTGTTGTCACTAAGTTATGCTAGTGGGCTTGATTTTCTGGTTAAGAACTGCATATTTACATTGTTAATACTGTTGAAATTATTTGTTCATGAAGCGGGTGATCTCCATGCATTTCGATCCTTATTAGACTCAAGGGTAAAATCTTCATCACAGAAATCTCCTGTTACAGTCGGAAAATCTGAACCCTCCCATAATGCTAGAGAGGTAAGGTTTTCTTTTTCTTCTTTGTACTTAGTCAAGCTCATTACATCTTTGCCTTACGAAAATATTTGAGAATGATGATTCAGGTTCTAGTGGATCGGAAATCTAGCTACGCTGTTGCACTAAAATTTCAGAAAATACGGACACTGTACTTGGGGTAGGTGACATTTTTGTGTCCATCTTATTAAGTGTTCTTGCTGATTATGCCAAGCGCCTAATTGATCCAATTTGTTCTTTCACTTTTTTGTTGTTTTTGTCTACTGTGTACATTTCGGTTAATTTTTTTGTTTGTTTTAAGTCTTTGCTAGTCCTTTTGAATAAGACTTGTTGAAATCTGGTTTTCTGAAGTATTCGTCTCCGACCCATATTTAGATACAGATATGGGGATATGACCTTTTAAGGACCTTTCAAATATATTACAAAACTTAGAAAAAATTTGAACATAGCCTTATCGACAAATACCTGCATTAGATACTTAGCAGTATAGTCTGAGTAACATAGATTTAGAGTCCACTGTTGTTTATATTTTAGAGGGGTGGGGTCTCATTCTCCTTTTTCTTCGTTGTTGTAGAACTAGATCTCAAACAAGTTCTAAAAATAGAGCTCAAGAGCAGGAACCAGGAAGTTCAGAGAAAAATCACGTTGAGTCAGCTCTCAGCATAGAAGAGACTACTGGGGAAACTTGCAATGGTGAGATTTTTCTCAGATGTGTTTTACAAGGCTCCCAGGACTCATCTTCTGTTGCGGATTTAGCCGACTTCATCGAGTGCAAAAAAGGAAAAGATTATTCTGAATGGATGAAGGATCGAGATAAATTTAGACGATGGAAATCCGAGAAATTGGAAAACTTCAGGTGGAAGAAAAGGAGAAGAGCTTTTCAGAAGAAAGCGTAGTTACTTCTGCTTGGCTTAAGGGCTTAATGCCATAAAATGGGGATTCAGAGCAGATGAACTCATTATCTTCTTTTATGGAAAAATTATGTCCATTGTATATTTTTATGCTTATGAAGAGAATGCTAGGATTAAGTATTAAATACTACCCAGATAATCTATCTTGAATTTTGATATAATGTATTATTATTTTATATCAATTATAATACTTGGTCACCAAAATTAAAAATATTTAATTTTTATTTTATTTTATAGGGATTCAATTAAATCTTTCATGACATAAAATCTCAATTATTGTTTATTTCATTATTCTTCACTTAGGGTTCCATGGATATTATGATTGAGAGAGTTACTTACACTTTGATAGTTAAATATAACATGTTAATTAAGTTTTTTTAGCTAATTAAGTATTCAAAGAAGTTCACGTTACCCGAACACGTTTTACATATATCCCATTCCAATTCGCACATCGAATTTAAAATAAAGTTGTTCACAATTTAGCTCGAATGGACCTTTAGAAAATTTATGATAATATTACTTATCTGTCATTCATATTGATAATGAGTAAATAAATTGTGATTTTCTACCATGCAACATCTATTCATTATGTAATTAGTTTTTGATGATTTTATTATTTATCCATATTCATCGAAAAAATATTATTTATTTATTATTATTATTATTATTATTATATAACAATTGATTAATTACAATATTTAAGAAAATATAGAACTATCATGCTGAAAAATAATAGATTATATATACATATAATATATAACAAAAATTACAAGTAACTATAAAAATCATTTACGGTGATAACATATCATTATAATACGTGAACAAAATTAAAATGTTAGCAGGACTAACAGCGATTGAAGGCGGGTCATTCTTCTTCTTCTTCGATTTTCGATCGATTGAATTTTCCTCTTTTGTTGGTTGATTCTGTGGGGTTTCTATTGGGCTATGTCTTCTGGTGCGACTACGGATTGGAGGAAGTTATTCGCGGCGGGGAATGAGCAGGGATTGGATTATTTCCCCCCGACGGAGTCTGAGGGCTTGCTTGTTGTGAAGCCTCCAAAAGATGTGTTCGAGGAGGGAATCTTAGAGTGAAGACATGCTCTGGTTGGGCAGTTCATCGGCTCAACCCCAAATTTTAGTTTGTTACAGAAGACAGTTGAGTTGATGTGGGGCAAAGCCACTCCGGTGAAGGTGAGTCTAGCCGGATCAAATCTTTTTGTCTTCTCTTTTTCTAGCTCCTTGGCCAGGGACTGGGTTTTAGAAAATGGTCCCTGGCATGTACATCACAAGCCTCTCTTTCTCAAGAAATGGGAGCCGATCTTGAAGGAATTATACTTTGACTTGGATCGTATGCCAATTTGGATCCAATTATTCAATGTCCCTTTGAAGCTATTTTCGAAGAAGGTACTCAACTACATCGCTAGTGCTATCGGTAAGCCCTTACATATGGACTTCATTACTGCTTCTAGGGCGAGATTAGAGTATGCTAGAGTCTGCTTAGAAATTTCTGTTAATTCGAGAATCCCAGACTTTGTTGATGTGGTTTTGTGTGACGAGTCTGTAGCTAGAATCAAAGTTGTTGTACCTAGAATCAATGTTGTTATACCTTGGATACCTGCTTCGTGTGTTGAATGTGGTAGATTTGGTCACTCTACGAAAATATGATCTCTGGGGAAAAAGAATGAGCAGGTATGGAGGGTTAAAGCACAAGAGATTAAGCAGGATGTTGTAAATAAAGTTCCATCTAGGAACGAGGGGAGAAGTGTTGGTGTGAATATTACAAACGATCCAACATAGGAGATAAATGTGAATAACATCCTAGCTGGGAATGAGGGGAGAAGTGTTGGTGTAAATTTTACAAAAGCTCCAGCACAAGAGAGGAATGTAAATAATATTCCAGCTGGGAATGAGGGGAAGGGTGTTGATTTGGTACCGAACTTAGCTCCTAATAATGTTGCGCTAGTTGTAGTGAATTGTGTAGGCAAGGCCTCAACTGATTCTGGAAGAGATATTGACAATGAATCAAAACAGGTTGCTCATGTGGCTAGGAGTAATCCTCCTATTAAGCGAGGACGAGGTAGGCCAACAAAAGAAGCAAAGACTGCTTTGGGAGGTTCAAAGAACAAGTTCGAGGCCCTTACCTCAATCGATCCTGATAGTTTGCTGCATGTTGATGATTCTAGTACGAAGCAGAGAGCAGCTTGTTTGGGAGTGGCTAAGCTTGTACAAGATTTAAAGTTAAAGAAAAAGGAGCAAGTTGACAAAGTAAAGAAAATGGAGGATAGGGTGGTCCCTCTTCCTCCTCCACTACCCTATGTTAGTTTGTTTCTGGAACGTTCGAGGATTTAATAATCCTCATAAGCAGAGAAATTATAAACTGGGCTGCTAATTGTCAAATAAGTATCCTCTGTCTGTTGGAAACTATAATCAAAGAGGTGAACTCAGCAAATATCTTAACCCAAAGGTTTAGTGAATGAGATTCTTGCTGCAATTATAGTCACGCAGTTAATGGTCGTATTTGGGTGCTTTGGCATAAACATTTGGCTTCGTTAAGCTTGTGACATATTCGATGGGCTCTTGGAAAATCTGTTAATCTTTACGTTCAATTGTAAACAGGAAAGCGACTCTTATTTAGCTCGTAAGCTTGACCAAGTGTTGGTGAATTCAGCATGGATTTAAACTTTTCTAGATTATGATGTTGAGCTTCTCGCAACTAGGGACTCAGACCACAACCCAGCTGTAGTGTGGCTCCACAAGGCTGCCCCTGTAACCAAGCCAAAACCTTTTAGGTTCTTTAATTTTTGGGCTTTACATCCAGATTTTTTTTGCCATTATAAAGGAGTCATGGAAGGCTCTGATGGACGACAATCCAGCTCAAGTTCTTTTCCAAAAACTCAAGAGGTTAAAATGTCCTCTCAGGAATTTTAACAAAAACCATTTTAATGACATTTCCAACAAGGTGAAACTGAAAAGAGAAGAGCTGCTGAGTTTCCAGCTTGCAAATTTACTGCTGTCAGCAATGTTAATGATGAAGTTCAAGCTGAAAGGGAGCTAAAAATCCTTCAAAAAGCTGAATTGTTTTTTTATAAGCAAAAAGCTAAAGCAAGTTGGATTGATGAGGGATATCAAGGGACCCATTTTTTCCATTCGGTGGTGGAAAGCAGGAGGAAAAGTAGCACAATCAGGTCATTTATGATGAATCTGGTGTCAGACTGGACACTTTTGATGATTGTCCAACGAGGTAATCAAGTTCTTCCAGAATCAGCTGGGAACGACTGATGCAAATGTCAAGGGCAGTAATATTGCAACAATTAAGGAACTTCTTAATTATTCTCTTCTCCTGGGTGCTGATACGATTTTATGCAATGATGTTTCTGACATGGAGATCAAAGATGCCATTTGGGGACAAGGCAATGAAAAGTCCCCTGGGCCTGATGGCTATAATAATTTCTTCTTCAAGAAAGCTTGGGCCATTATTGGTGAGGACTTCACAGCAGTTATTAGGTATTATTTTGATAATTCCTTTATTCTTCTTGCCTTCAACTCTACGGCTGTTGTTCTTGTCCTAAAAGTGCCTAATCCTAGCATAGTCAAAGATTTTAGGCCTATATCCTGTTGTACTGTGATCTATAAGACTATCACTAGGATCTTAGTTAGGCTCTTGTCTGCTGTATTCCCGGGCATGATTTCTAAGAACCAATCTGCTTTTGTTAAAGGGAGAAGCATTGTGGATAACACCCTCCTCGCCCAAGAGCTTGTTAGGGGCTATAATAGGAAGAATATTTCCCCTAGATGTGCTTTGAAGATAGACCTTCAAAAAGCTTTTGATTCTCTTGATTGAGATTTCATTGCTGTTATTCTTCAGGCTTTGGGCCTGCCTGAGAAATTTATTGGCTGGTTTTGGGCTTGTTTCACCAAACCGAGATATTCAATCATGTTTAATGGCAATCTTGTTGGTTATTTTAGGGGTGCTCAGGGTGTCAGACAAGGCGACCCTCTTTCTCCTTATCTCTTTGTTCTCGCCATGAATGTTTTATCAAGTCTGTTGAATGTGGCTGCTCTTAGGGTGCGTTTGGTTAATGGAATGTAAAATTACTAGTGGGAATAAAAGATTACCAGGGAATAAGATTACTGGGAATGTTGTATTTTGTGTTTGGTTGGTTTAGCAGGAATGTAAGATTACCGTGTTTGGTTAAAGGAATAAAAGATTATTGGAATGTATATTTGACCAAATTGTCCTTATTATATATTTGTATAATATTACAAATTTTAAAATATTATATATTTTCTTTAAAAAATTAAATTCATAATATTTATATAATTTTTAAAAAAAATTAAAAATATAAAAAAAGTTTAATGAAAGGGTAAAAAAAAAATTAATCCCTGAACTTCATATAAAATTTTAATTATATACTTTTTTTTTGTAAATCTAAAATAATTTAAGGATAAATTTGTAATTTAACCTTCGTAGAATTTTTATTATTCAATGACAGAAGAAGGATATTTTTGAAAAAAATACAAATTTAAGGGCATTTTAGTCCAAAACGCCGATAATGTTACAATACCTAAGGGAAGGGAGGTAATGACATTCCCGGTAATATACCCAAAAAATCTACTATTGATAATAAAACATTACCGGGAATGAGATTCCCGGCCAACCAAACATGGGAATGTGGGATTCCCATCCCATGGGAATCCCACAATCCTTGAACCAAACACCCCCTTAGGGGTATCTTCAAGTATCATCCCAAATGTAAAAGAATAGGCTTGACTCACCTTTGCTTTGCGGATGACCTACTTATTTTCTGTAAAGCCTCTATTGATTCTATTATTGGTGTACAAACTGTGTTGGATGGTTTTTACTCTATCTCTGGGCTAAAACTGAATGTTAGGAAATGTGAGATGTTTGTCGCCGGGTTGTCTGCTGTTTAATGTAGGGATATAAGTGAGGTTACGAGATTTAAAACAGGGAAACTCCCTGTTCGATACTTGGGTATCCCTCTGGTGACAAAGAAACTTACTGAGATGGACTGTCAACCTCTTATTGATAAAATAAATACACGATTGAACCTTTGGGTTAACAAGCATTTAAGCTTTGCTGGCAGACTCCAACTGGTGCGTGATGTTCT